AACAAGAGTGCCCTAAGAAGCCCCTTCCAGGCCCCTTCTAGGTGGCCACTGAGCCATCCCCTGTGACTAGGACCTCTTAGGCTGATCTGCTACTCTGTTTTTACTTCCTGCAAAGAAGCACAAAGGGTCAAATCAGGACACATGGCAGGAGTAGCTAAAGAGCTAAGGGAGTAGCTAAAGAGCCAAGGAAGAAGCCAAAGGCTCTGGTATTGCTTGGTGTGCACATGTGTAATGGATATTGAGAGAGAGACAGAGAGCACTCACACCAGCATAGCAAGCATGGGAAGACAGAAAAAAATGGAGGCCCAAATGAACGAGCTTTAAAAAGAATACATGAAAAACTATGATTAAATTGATGTCTGCTTAGTATCCTTGGCTCTCCTTTTTCTGTCTTTTTCTCACTGATAGTGGTGGTGGAAAGAGGGGAGTCATTGATTTTAGGGCCCAGAAGTGAAATAAGCAAATAGAATTTAGGATTGGGGAGTTTGAGAAAGTCACCCAAAACTGCACATAAAGGGACTGAGATAATTATAGGCTGTTGATTTTTAATTGCAGCTTATTAAATTAACTCTCCCTTTAACAGGTGTGGGGGACTGTCAGGATAGGGTGTGTCCTATTACAGACATTTTCCTAGAGCTGCTTCCACCCCCTGCCCTTGTATCTGATTTTATGTACTTCAAAATGCCATTAGTTCACTCAAGTGACTTCAGTTCTATTGACAATGTTAATTCTCTGCCTGTACAAACCAAAGGCTACTCGGGATAAGCTGATTTTTGTTTATTATCTGACAAGACTTGAGATTACACTAAACTGATTTTGGTATGTTTCCCTTCAACCTAATCGTATTGGACTTCTCTCAGCTTAATCATCAGAGTTGAATGCCTTCTTGTATTATATTTATACTCGAAATTAAAGTCACGTATAATACAAAATTAGCTACAGTAGTTTGCAAAAGGATGCATGTAATTGTGCAGGTTTAAACTATTAGTAAATTGAAAGGTCAGTGTGAGTGATCACACATGTACTTTAGCTAAAGCTGGTTCCAAGTGCAAGTCTAAAGGTCTGCTTCTCTTCTACCACATGATTAATTTGTTTGTGCCAGAGTTACTGATGCTTTGTGACCAGAATCATGTCAGGCAGGTCTCAGCAGGTTTGAATCAATATGGTCCTACGTTGTCACTGCATCATCATTTTAATTGTCCCTTTCTATTACACTTAGCAATCAGATAGCAGGCAAGACTGAAATAAGAATCAACTTCTAAAGAGACAGAAAGGTTTATTTTACAAAATTATAGTGGGAAGAAATCGTCCTGATTGGAATCTACTTCTAAATTCATGTGTGTGTGTATGTTGCTAGACACACATTTTTTACATTTAATAGTACTAGAACACAGCTACTTGTGAAAAAGCCTAGGCCCATACCATCCTGGTGTCTTTTGAGAGAGCTGGGACTCTTGCCCAGGACCATATGAAGTGGAAACAAAACCAAGATGATCAGAAAAGGACATTCTATGCACTGATTCTAGCCTACCATATTGAACACTGCAGTCTTGCCAGAAACAAAATCCCTTTGTGATGAATCCTTATCAGTCTCAATTTGCCTCACTTTTCTGACACTTTTTTTTTGTCTTTCCTAATCTAGCCCTTCCCCTCTGATGGTCTTTTTGTCAACAGTCTGGCCTTCCAACTCCTCCTGAGTTCAACAGGAGACAAGGATCATAATAGCACGTGACTTAACCGATCCACGGTAATAGGCCACACCTCCACACCTCCAAAGAGGGGTGCACCCAGCAGGCAACCGCTGCTGTTAGCAGGCAGGTTTTCAGAACTGTGTGAACACTTCTAATATATTACCATTCCTCTGGGAACCAGCTACTTCTCTTCCCACTTCAGAAAACACATAATGAGACTTTGTGTTTCAATTTAACATCCCTTGAAAACGGAAATCTTTCCCCTTACAGAAAAAAAATATTAGTAAAGAGGGAGACGAAAGGCAAGAGAGAAATGAATTAGGCAGTCTCCAAAGCACACTGGTTCAAATGGGAAACTGCGACCAAAGCAGCTCCGTAATAGTATAATGACCTTTAATGAGTGTCTTGGGAAACAATACAGCCCTCGCATAAAAGACAAAGGGCAAAACCCATCATGGCTCTGCTGACACTAATTCAAAATGATTTTCAGAACAACTAAAGAATGTAAGAGAAGTAATCTGATCCACCCATCTGACCTCACTTTGATTCAAGGGCCCTTCTCCTGCCATTTCTAATTGTCAAACCCTCTACATTTCACATCTGTTCATATTTAATGAAAAGCCCACTCTCACTGCTGCTCTTGAGTCAACTTGCTCTGTCAAATGGGCACCACCCAACTCCACTACCAGTGAGGGATGCCTGGGGATCGCTATTGGAGCGCTGCCAGTGGAATTTCATGTGGAGACAGACATTTTTTTAATTGGAGAAGAAGGTCTTATGTGGGCCCAAGAAGGGGCTCAAATTGGAAAGGCTTTTTCTAACTTATTAATAATGGTCAAAGGTGAGTGGTCTCACACAGGGATGGATGAAATCTGCTTTTGTCTGATGGAGTGGTGACGGCAGGGTGACTGATGAAACAGAGAAGGCAAACCGCCCCCTGAGCTGTCAATACCACTTAAGGCTTCAACATGCAGCCCAGAGCTCCACGTGTTCCCTGGTGGGGGCTGATTTTGGAGGCACAGGAGGGACAACATGCCACTCACAGACTGTTTCTTAGAGGATGGGACAATCCCACCCCAAGTTTTTCTTCTCCCTGGCCGCCGTCAATGCTTGGATTAAGTTGCACAGCTGAGAAATCCCTCTAATTACGGTTTCTCTTGGATATAATGAAAATTATACACTCTGGGCACCATGGGGTCTATGCGGGGGACATAAGAGTTTGCTGTGATTGGTATTGTTGGCCAGTGCCAGGACATGTCCACGGGGCCCTAGCTCAGAGCCAGAGTGGCTCCTTTCTTCTCTCCACTGAATCTAGGCCAAGGTTTTAGAGCCTCGTGATTATTCAAGAACAGAAGTTGCTCACTAGGCAGAGGGTAACCCGGGTGACTTATGGTTACTTTCCCCACCATCAATCAAAAGGAGGTGACCAAATTGTGCCACCTCAGGCCCTCCTCTGCTCTTCCTCCCCAGCACCTGTCTTTGAACTTGGTGTCTTACTGCACATAGTAGACAGATGAGTTCCCTGTAGTGGCATATAAACCACGAAGAGCTCTTAAGGGACGAATAAAGTGATAAGGATTCATATGGCAGCATCCAAGGATTTTAAAAACCTTTCCAAGATTTTAGGCCCATGTGGCAGTCCACATTCCCTCTCAATGCAACCTCCTTTAGGTATTACTTTGAAGTGAATCCTGTCCCTTGGCACTGCTCTGGAGGAACAGGAAATTGTGAATCAGAGAGGATGACTCTCCGGTCCTAGATCAAAACTTTCCAAATACCTCTAATACAGCTCGATTCACAGATCGTGCTTCCCACTTGAACTTCAGGCCCAAACATCAGCACCCGGCATGGCACACAGTGAAGTCCCAGCTCTCTCAACCCTAGAGGCTTCATGGATACCTGCCACGCAGATGCACTACACTGAAACCAGCCTCAACACTGGCACAGGGGAGTCAAGCCAGTTCATTTTCCATGGGAATAAATGCTTAAGAGCTCGATGGTCTTCTTCCGCCTGTCGTCAGTGTACACCTACCCCTGCTGGGGAAAGTTTAGCTCAACCAGCTCTGAGCACTTGAAAGGTAAGAGGACAGACAGCAAGAGGTTAGCAATCAATGTGTTGGGTGCTTTAAAGAGGAAAGGATGAAGTGCAGAAACGAGAACCATCTCCTACCTTCTATGCTACCAAAATGTGAAAACACAGTTACAGTTATACTTCAGGTAAAGCCCTGCAGTGGAAGCACAGCCTCTTCTGCCCTTGGACCAAGACCCACAGTCCCAGGGTCTCAAACTGGCACTTCCAGGAACTTCACTGATAAATCGCATTAGTAAAACAGCAGAGTCTATGGTGAAGGGAAGGATAAGGGAGGTCTCAGGAAACTGGCACATCTCAGCCTTGCCAGCTACTAGCTGCATAACCTCGACAGGTCCTTTAACATCTCTGAGCTTGTGGATAGAAAGAAGATTGACATCAGAGGCCTTTGCCATGGACTCAGAGAAATCACAGAGGTTTCTGACTGACATTTTTTGTTGGTATTTGGAATCACAATTGCTACAAGACACCTTAGTTATACAAGGACTATACTGTTGGACAAATAAAAGAGATTAATAAAGCAGTCCTTTAAAACAGTCATCTTTCTGAGAAAAAGCTCTGGAATCCACCAGCCCATGCAGGCTGACAGACACAGAATACTCTTTCCCAGAACAAAAGACAAAATCTGGCACTGGAGGAATGAGGCACAGGTTAGACAGACACAGTAAAAAGAAAAAAAAATTACATATATATATATATATATATATATACACACCCATCTGCATCAAAACTCTGTTGCATTTTGGGAACGATCTAATAAACTATCTAAGCTCACTAAAAGCAATTTAATGCTAGCGCTGGCTTGTTCTCTCTACACCTTTTCCTTCCTCCCTTTGATACAATTCAATTTACAGCCATTCCCAAAATATTAAGATGTACACTTCCACATATCTCTGTATTAATACAGTAGGTGATATGCTGTCACTTTAATTTCCATTTATATTTATTTAAAGGAGAGAGAGGAAAGATATCACCAGGCGGTAATATCACAGTCCTGCAGGCTATTACGAGAAGCACGAGTTAAGAAAATCAGAAGGGAGTCCTTCCTCAGCACGTCCACAGAGACACAGGCAGCTGGGGTAACATGTCACCACACAAGAATTCACACTGAGAAGAAGACATCAGCCCGACTGACTCACAACCACAGGGCACAGCACAAGACGGGGATGATACCACAGACAGCACAAACACGGAATGGCGTGTGTCGAGGTTAAACTTACAGGCACGGAAACTGGTGGAGCAATCATTAACAGAGACAGAAGAAAGTGGGAAGGCTCTCTCAAGGGTGTCCACGTTACCACGCACACGGCCTGACATGCACGAGCAGTCACGCTCAGAACGTCCGCAATCAAAACAACATGCCCGTCTCATTCTCTTGTAGATGGACATCTTGGCTATAACCGTGTGGTTGGATGGAGGAGAGGAAGAGCGGCAGTTAATGGCAAGGTCACACACAGCAAGGCAGCTGGAAGGGAGCTGAAGGGATTTAACACAGGTCTTAGTTCACTTTAACAGTCTTGACCCAGAAAAAAATGCAGAGTGATTGTTGGTAACAGTTTGGTTGTACATCAAAAAAGCAGCGAAAATATAAATTGCCTTTATCGTTCCCCAAGGCTGTTGCACATGATTTTTCTTCCCTAAGTAAAGCGGTGACCACAGGAAAAGGGCATGGCTGAATACACTCAGGCTCTTGAATGGGAAGAAGAGCAAATTACAGACAGCAAAAAATGTAACAACACTTTTCCCCTGATACGATTAATACAGGAGGACAAAATATACACACTGCCAATCAATTAAATTAATTGCTTATTTGGCACAATAAATGGTTTTTGAAAGATGCAAAAACATCTAATATGCAGGCTTTCTAATTTCCATCCATTTCTGGGCATTAGGCAGAGGCTGGGACAAGCTTTCATCAAATTAGATGGGAAACGATTACGTGTTAATATAGAATCTGAGGATGCCTTTGCTGAACTTCCTAAGAGTGAGTTTACATGATGGCTACAGGAATTTAAATTTACTCTTGACAGAACAAATATCCAAATCTGTCCATATAAGAAATGCAGCTACTCAAGACTAATGTTGCAGATTTGACATTAAAGGCAGCTCACAAATAAGAAATCACCAAAAGCATATGAGATGTTGCTCTATTGGAATCCATTTAGCTACTTATGGGTATATTTTTCTGCTTAAAGCTGAGAGGATCTGAAGATCGCATCTGCCTTTCTCTCCCCACCCCACAGAAATTCAGAAAGCATCAGGCTAGTGGGTAATGATATTCTTTTTTTTTACATATACAGAAAATACTGGCCAAAATCAATTAAAAATGACAGAACATGAAATCAAAGAATAGGTTTCATGTGAAATATCTTAACGCAATTTGCATGCAGCATTGATAGCTCTTCTAAAGCTGGTATGGTAGGTTCTGCACTGCCTGGGGATCCAAACTGAGTGGTAACCTATAAAAGTTGCTGGAAGTTAGCATTGTAGTTTCCAATGCCCTTCTCCTTTGCCATTCAAGCCAATTTATATTTCAGTACAAGAGAAGGTTTTTGTACCTCATTTTGATGCTACAACAGGCAAACATGTTTGCGTATCACTTAGCATGAACTGGCCTGCTTCTCTCACAAGGTGGGAGAATTCACATTTATTCTAAGCACGACCGCCAAACAGTGAAACTAAACTGAGGAGGTGTTTTTCCTGCATCCACACCTTCCATTTTGAAAAGTCGCTTCCCCCCGCCTCTTTCTTTTTCTTTGTAGAGAATGGTTGCGCTCTTATTTTAAAATATGGCTTGTGGTTTTGCCCTCTTTGAATGTTACAGTCACCAGGAAGAGGGGTTTAAATCTCTCAAATGGGTCAAGTCCTGTTCTAAGACCTTTATGACTTGCCATACAGTATATTTGTCAAGCAAGGGTAACGTTATGATTGTGAAGAACAGGCACTGGGGGAGATGAATGAGAGATCTCTTCAGCAGCAACTCCATTCTTGTAAACTTGTCTCACATTTTTAGTGACATGTTCTTTTAGTGTCCTAGCTAGTCTGTTGTTCAGATCATCATGCAGCCCCAGCCCTGTTCAATGGTGGTATATCATTCCTTTGAGCTTTAGCTTTTACAAAAAAAAAAAAAAAAAAAAGTTCCACTATAGCATTTGAATCAGAGGAATTTAGAAGGCATGGTGTGAATGCCCAGACATCCCAAACAAACAGCAATGGCTAAAGTCGAGAAAGGGAAAAAAGTCTTCAATTAAAGTTATGAAGATAAATTTATCTTAAATGCATCTGGATCTGGCATACAACCTGAAAACATTCCCTTGTTTTCTCCTTCTTAGTTCTTTTACTGGAAATATTGATTTGTTATTTATACAGAAGAGGAAAACAAGAATGATTTTTTGTTTCACCATAGATAAATCGTTTTGAAAAACAATTTTTTTAATCAAATGCTGTAGCAGAAGAGAAGCCCATCAAACTCTGGAATGCTATGCTTCTCATTAGCAACAGTCCCTGGTTTTCATTTCCATAGTGCCATTTTGGGTTTATATACAATAATAGAATCTGACACATTTATGGGGAAAGAAAGATCTTATAAAATATACCATCTATAAGGATAAGGGGAGGGATGATGGGGATGAAATAACTTTGAAACTATTTTTTTCAGAGGCAAATGGATCAGAATAGGTGATGTAAACTTCCTACTTGATATAAGTTCAGGAGGAAACACAGCGACAAACCAGTGGCTCTCAGGGACTGTTTGCAACTGTTATTTCTGGTGACCATGCATTGTTCTAAAATTTCTTATTGTTAGCATGCAGGAACAGGCTGAAACTGGTCATCGAAGCAGCAAAAAACCATTTGCTATAAGAAGATTAACTGTTAATTATAAGCAGTCACATTCGAAAGCAGCATATGCATAAAAAAGAAAACATGCTATTACTCGTCATTCCTTCCCAGTCATTTTTACACTCACACCAAATGCAAAATATAAATCTCAAAAGACAAACAAGTACCACCACACACACAAAAAAAAATCAGCAAGAATGATCAATGAGAGGCTCAAAGACAAGACAGAAACAGCTAAAAACGAATGAGCCCCACGCGTTGACAAACCTTCATGAATCAGAATGTCTAGATCAAGGTGCCACCAACTGGGAGGGTAGCTCTTTTTTGCTACTGCTGGCATAGTCCATTTCCATTGACTCCCTGTCAGGTGTCTTCACCTAGAGACTTCTGGGTCCACTTTCTTAAAAAGTAAGACCTCCCATCTGGTGGAGTGATTGATTCATCGGGCTTGAAGGATGAGTACTGGCCAGGAAGAAATCTCCTCTGGGCCATTATACAAATCATGAAAAAGCTCTTTAACTAAAAGCTGATCAGGAGTTGTCTCCCTAGTGGTAGATGTTCCAGAAGAATTGAACACTCTCTCTGTAAAATTATACTCTCAAGTTGTAAAACTAAATTATATCTAAATTAAGTCGTGGACCTCCTAATTTGGAAATTACCACCCCTCATCTCTCTCCAGCTTCCTAATCCTTCAGTTTTGTTTCAGTGAGTCATGGATATTCAGAACCACTGATGTTTTGTTTCCATTCCTCAATGATTGTTTCCTTTTCTAGAGCTGATTTAGGTTAGAAGGTTAATTTTAAATACAAAGAGTACCACTTTAAGTTCCCAAGGTTAGGTCTCAAAGTGCAACTTTGAAAGTTTCAGGATTTATTTAAAACAGAAGTAAGTTTCTTATTTACCCCCTGGCAACACAAAACATCTTCTCTCCTTTGGTGTTTGCTCATTTTCTTTCTTACATAGTCACCCATTGTTCCCTTCCCAAATCCCAATTCTCAGACAAGGTTTTCCCCAGGAAGTCAATGGTAATACAAAGTAGATCTATGAGGACATCTAGTGGATCGATGTGGAAGAGCAGCTAGTTCACAGAATTGAAACTAGCCTTTCTCCAAAAGGAGCAGAAAGAGGACCCTGCTGTCTCTAAGAATTGAAATATGTGCAGTATCATTTCAATTCAATGGCTTCTCACGATCCACAGCAGATGATTAGGGGTAGGGGAAATGAACGGGTGAGAGGTCCTAGGAGATGAGCCTAGGGTCTGCAGCCACAGCCAGCACAGGACTATTTCAGTGGCAATAGACAGGGTCTCCTTAAAGCCCTGCTGCAGCTTCCTCAGACTGGGAGCAGACAAGAGTGTGTCTCTGCAAGTGTGAACACGGAAGCTACTTGTCATTCCATCTTAGGGCTCTTGAAACTTCTTGCTCAATTAATTGTCCCCATAGGCAAGCTTAACTCTAGGAAAGCAGAAATACAAGGCTCTAGGGACTTAGTTTACCCTCTGGCCACATCATAAGGTTCTTGTTATTGGACCAGGGCACAGAGTCCATGAGGTTATGTGGTTGCTAAGAATTTGACCCTGGGTCTCACCTTCCCCAAAGACCTAGGTCCTAGAAGTTTCATAATTTGAGAAAAAGCTTTTATGTGCTTTTCTTCACCACAGTGAAGTGGATATCCAACCAATATTTCCATTATGACTTCCTAGTACTATTTACAGAGATAAAAGTATTTTCCTAATGGACATCATCAAAACTATGTTTACTCCTGAGCGTTTAAAACAAAAAGATTTCTCAGAGGTGTTCTTGGACAATTTTTCCTATATTCTCAAAGGCTGCTGTGAGAATGAAACCAGAAACCTGTTGGAAAGGGGCTGCTGAAGAGGCAGCTCAGTTCCTGCTCTTTCCTGGAGTCAAATGGATAATCGGCTGTCAAACTCAGGTTCTCTGCTGGCTGGCCTTTCTGAGCCAAGCCTGGAATGCAAGGAAGAATTGAATTCCATCCTATCCTCAGCACCATCTGCCTCCTGCATCAGCAACCAAATTGTCAGCCAATTTCCAATTGCAGAATCTTAATTTTCAGGACGGATTGGAAGGGGCAGGAAAAAGCAGTGCTGGATTGAGGAGCCCAGGTGGAGTTTTCCAACTGCTGGGGAAAAATATTTTATATTTCAAATGGAGTAAATTCAAGGGAAGACTGGGATGGAAGAAAAAAAAACATCTGCCATGCAATTAATAGATACTTTTCAGGTCACAACCTCACTTTCAAAGTCAGTCCAATGAAGGAGGGATTATTTCCAAGCATAAACCCTGGAGCTACTCTTCATGTGCTCTGAAGCAAATAACATTACTAATATAAAAATCCATGGAAGAAAAAGTCCACCAGGATTTAAGGTGAAGCCTTTGATGTGGCACGGAGAATCAGAGAATCTTCTTTCAAGTCCTATAAATGAGGATCGACATCTTCACTTAGCAAAAATCCTCCCATTACCTTCTGGAGTAAGAAGGAAGGTCTTCCAGGTGGTTTTCCAAAAACAGAGGAGAAAGAAAAAGCTAGTTAA